ACAAAAGGGTTGTCGTAGGGTACTACTTTTGGGGTAGTCAGAAGCCGTCACAGATATCGCTACCCCTCCCCCCCCCCCCCCCCTTTTAGTAATACTAACGACCCCATGGGTAGTCACGCCGCGTGTAAACAACAGGTAGTCACTGTGAGCACCCCCAAAAGCAACATGGCGGCTGGCAAGCGACAGTGGAGTAATACGACTAAGGCCTAGCGAGCTCGACTGCTTTTTGCTAAAATACGATTTTCAAGTGCGCACGCCCGTTCGCTGCCTTCCGTGCGCACTAAAGCACACCAAACCGCGTCTCAAAGCACCGGCACCGCACCTATTACGAGTAGGGGCGGCGATGTGAGGGGGGGGGGGCATTCGAGGGGGTTTGTCCGCGACTGCTTTCGCGCGGCCGGCTGCATTTACTTAGCGGCCAGAAAACATTCAAAGAAGGAATCGTATAGCGGCAAATGAACTGATGTCTTTATTGAACAGACACTCTGCTTGCTGTGCATGCCGCAAGTGATCCGGCGTTTTCGGTTGACAGCGGCGAGGCGAGGCATCACCGATTCAAGTGGTGTCGGTTCCGATCGTTCAACGCTCCTCCTCACCTGTTAGCGTTCGTTATCCACTTTCAAGTCTCTGGTAATCCCACCGCGTCTGTGCACGCACTATTCACCGCACGGAACACCCATTCAGCTGGCTATGGGACTGATCCCACTGAGACGAGAGCACGAGAGGCCGAGAACCGAACCCTTTGTGGCTGGTCCGTGGAGCCATGGAGCGCCTCCATTTTTTCACTCAAATATATAGATACATAAACGCGCGACTCCTTGAATTGGGCGGCGACACGCGCCACCTAACGGACAGCGCGCAAACTAAGAAAAAGAATCCAACCGCCTTTGCTCTGAGCCCCTCGCCAGACTGCACTTCAAACAAACGCGACATGCAGACACCATACAGTATTATACATAAACGCGTTCACAAACAGCACAAGGTAGAGCATGAGATATTGACACTCTACATTCCTATATATACGACTAGTCGACACCGCCAGCTTTTATACTGCTGTATTTTCTGTGACCGATTAGGGTGGTGACCACTGTCATATTTTGCATAAATACGGAAAGGCTGTGCAAAATTTATCCGTATATATTATTTTCCTCTACTGCCCTTACGAAAGCGCTCGTATCTCTAATTTAATCCATTGCAAAAGTGAACTGCAGGTTATAAATCAAATTGAATTGTCGCTACCCGTCACGTTTTGATCAGTTTCGTTTTCTCGCTTGCCTACACTTCAAGTATACAGAATCCTGTTTAATTAATTGTATTAATTATCGAAACCAATTTCTGCAATCACAACTTTCTAAACACGCTGATGCATTTTCTTTTTTCTTTTTACATATCCGAATGACTTCAGCCACTTCAGCGGCGGTTGAGTAAATGTTGAGTACACTGAGCGCGCGCAGGTGATTCTAGCGAAGCCCGTCTGGCCCGTCCGCCGGTCTTCCCCGAAGCGTTGTTTCAGTTTTCTTCTTTTCGCTACAATTGTTTCTGCTCAACGCGTGTCTTTCAAATATGCGTTCTATGCGCTCGCGCTCGCGCCAAGAGGAGAGTGCAGAATTGCCGTTTTCGGGCCCGTGCCTTCACCTACAGCGAACGCGAAATACGTATGCTAAATGATCTGAAGCCTGGTTCAGACAGTTGCGTTTGACTGCGTTGCGGAGCGAGAAACTAGGACATCCCTGCTGCTTATATCACGTGCCAAGACGATTCCTTGATTTGGATTCCACGCTTCATACGAAGCACAGATGTGCCGGTGAGTCGCTTTCGGTTCTCGACGTAACACTGTCAAACGCATTCAAACGCAAGTGTCTGAACCGGCCTCAAGGGTCAAAGAAGGCCAAGAACATAGTTCTCTGCGCTGCACCTGCTGGCTTCTCCAGCAGTACTTTTCCTAAAAAAAAAAAAAAAAGTCTAAACCGAAAGTTGCACGTGTATGTTTGCCAAAGCCTTATTTTTGAAAATTTACTTGGAATCTTTTATATAGGTAAAAGGAACGCGTGCCGAAAGGCCTGAAATCCTAGTCCCCTTCAAAGTACTCCACCTTAGATGACACACACTTGTTTCAAGCATTTTTTATCGAGTATGCTCGATGAAATGCGCCAAATGAGCCAATGAAGGCGAATCATATATCCCAAGACAGAGAAATACTAAAATACACGGGCATGATCCCAGATATCTGTGTACGTTCGTCCTGTCCGGCCTCCAGTCGTGGTGTTCAATGCTTCATACTTCACTGCTCTTGAAAGCAAAAAAAAAAAGAGTATGACAGGCACGCAAGTTTGGCGGAACCGAGGAGGCCATTTGCAACTGATCTGCACGCAGAACTCACCGATCACACCTTTAATGAGAGCACGCTCTTTACTGAACCGCACAATAAAAGACGACAAGAGTATTTCGTCCGGGGAACATTCCAATCAACTCACGCCTGTGCGTAGCTTCCTGTGCTTTTCTAGAGATTTGGTTAAACTCCTCGAGCACGACGCCAGCTGCCAGCTGTTTACTAGCAGTACATGGTAAAATCCGCGACGGAACCAAAAAGGGCAACCGCGATACTTTTTATCTGCCTTGGGTTTTAGTAGGTGCCTACCAAGGTTGCCTGTACTCTTTGGCATGTTTGTTTTCTGCCAGTTTAGGCGAACCGAGCCACACGCCTGTTTCGACCGGTTCAAATTTGAATAAATGGTAACCAACGCACAAAGAAAACAAGTTTCGAGTACTTTTTGAGATTTTTGAAGTGGCTTTTACTATTGAACGATCGACTGCATGCACTTGAATGTTCAATTCAAGAGTTTATAAAATGTGACTACCCCATGCTTGTCACTTGCCAACAGGGTGGTAACGCTCAATGGCTCGAGCCCAGTGGGTAGTTAAGTGAGCCTGTGGGGTTGTTACAGCCGTCAAAACGCATGATGACTAGGGGGGTGCTCACTTTTTCTTAGAGTGTAGCAAATACAGGCGTCTTCGTGCGAGCAACGGCAAGTGCTATCGAAGAGACTAGGACAGACAACAAACGAGTGAACGTACTGAGTTTTAGTCATTTACCGAACTGAAAAACCTCTGAAAACTGTTGAAACACCATAACAGTCGCTAAAAGACAGTAGTCGTACAGACAAAGCAGATAAAGTTGCGCGTGTTGGTTTCGGTAAGGACCCAACCACGTGAAGGTTCTCGAATATCGAAACGTTAATTTTGGAGAAGCTACTCTCATTTTCACTTCCACGCTTGTTTGACTGCATTTCTACATCGTGTGCTTTCTGCAAGAGCAAACAATGACTAGAAAGAAAGGGAGAGTTCCCAACCTGGTGTGGCTCGAGATGACGAGGTTGTCCCACGGAGTCGCTCATATCTAAGCTTCACGAAGATCATTCTCGTTCGGAAATCGGAACACAGCTAGTCGCGTTCGGGTCTCCGGTGTAATTACTTTTGCACCAAGGGACGCAACATTACAACGACATCGATATACGGATGTGACATCTAAGGCAAACGGGCGTGCACGCTTGACACAGTGACACAAATTTTGTGAACAAGACGAAAACAGCTAACAAAAATGTCAAAACAAAAGCAGAAACAAAAAAAAATGCGCGCTTTTTATTATAATGGGTGTTGAACGCCGACGGATGTCGGCGTTCAACACCCAACACCCAAAAACTGCGGCATTTCCTGGTGGGCCTGTAGACCTATCTGCTGTCGACGGTAAAAATCACGCCGTGTGCGACAAGCCCCTGAAATTGTATATTTCTCCTTAGAACGTACGGAAACAGATCGACACTCACTGAAATTATGCGAAAATTCAGCTGCCATTACATAAGAACCTATATCCCATGATCAGTGCTGAATTTCACGAAACTTTTTCCGTTTTAATTTTGTCTTTTGTTCACTACATACTGAATGGTATACAATGCAGGACTATCCACTTAGTCTTGCCAATGTACAAGACACTGGATCTCATAAAAATGGGCAGAGGCTCTTTATGTTTAATATATACATTCTTTCCGCATTTTGAACAAAACTCTGTTTTTCTATTGCCACAAAAAGAAATACTTCGTCACGACTGGCGGGTTACACACGTATAACTCGTCCGTGGGCATAATACTATCTCACGGCGAAAGGAGCAACCTGCTTCACTCTCCCAGGTCATGTTGGCAGAAGAAAATGGCGAAATCAACCTTAGACAACACCTGTCTTCTTACCACTTTGATTTCTCTGATAGCCTTGTTTATTGGGGATGATTTTGTTAGATATTATACCTGTTAAGGGTTCTGCCAGCTATTTTTTAAATACTGAAGACTTTTACACTTACCACCGGTTCTCTCATTTGACCTACTGATCAGCGGTAGCTGATGTGGTGAACAGTTCGCAGAAGCTTTGGCAGTCGGGAGTTGCGAAACCGCGACAACATCGACACTTGCGCTTTGTCGTCCTTTCTGTCCATAACTTCTTCGTCCAACCTCCATAATCGTAAAATGTTGACAGCAGAGCACTCCAGATCTTGCGAAGGCATTGTTTGACAAGTCCAAACCAATTCGGACTCGTAAACGGAATAGGAAACTAAACACACAAATCGGAGACGAGCTCCAGGCATTGTCGTAAAACGTCGCACGTCGGCCGACTCAAGCGTCACATATCTCTAACTACTGACCTCTGACAGACCAACTCCAATTGCCAGAGTCTTTCCCGCTACACCAAAAATAATGTACTTAAAAAAAAAGAACTCAATTCCGTTTTAGCAATAAAGAGGGGGAAAAGAAGAAGAAGGAGCCCCTTTGATGTCTTGGAACCCCGACCTAGCTATGATGCCTCTACGACCAGTCCCTCTCTGATGTCGACTTCATTACGAAACTAACAAAAACAAGGAAAATGTTTTCAAAGCAATAGATACAGTGTTCGCAAAAAAAAATGTAATATATCTTTTATAGCAATATAAAATAGCACAATTGGGGAAACAATTGATCCAAAGAAGTTTATTTTGGTTCAGTACTGAAGAAGTGGAAGTTAAGTTCCTATTTTATCTTGGAAACTTATATAGGCTATATATAACCTCATAACGGCCAGTTCTTCTTTCGTACGAAATCTTCTGAAACCTAATCACAGCAGGCCATCGTTTTCAACTCCCAGTAAGGTGTTTCGAAGAATGTATTTTATTAATTATCAAGAAAGTGATAGTAAGGTGTGGAGGTGCCTTTGGTTTGAAGTCAGGTATACACAAAAATGGTGGCATGTTTTGTTCCTATTATTAAGTATATAGACAAAAATATACAAAAAATGATATTAGGTGCCAATATTTTTTCAGAAGGTGGACTTCACGTCAGGCATGTTGCGTTGTAAACCTCGTATATTTCTCCGTCGCATAACGTCTTGTAAGTACCAAGGCACTCTTGGATAACATCATTCGTAGGGTTTTCGTACGCCCACAGCTGGCATTCTGGAAAATGAAAACGGAAGACATTACACAGAGTACATTTTATTTAAGTAAAACATATAAAATAGCGAAACAGAAAGACAAGGACAAGAAGTATACAGGACAGGCGCTAACTTTCAACTAGTTTTATTAAGGAAAATTGAACACATATATACACACGACAGGCAAAGCAGCATCACGTGAAACGGACTTCCAACAAGTTTTAAAACTAGTTGAAAGTTAGCGGCTGTCCTGTATACTTCTTGTCCTAATCTTTCTGTTGCGCTCTTTTATATGTTTTACTAAGATGAACCAACTAGCCCAACAACGTACCCTACTAAACATTTTATTTAAAATTCGGAAGGCGATCTAAGAAAAGTACAATTTTCTCAAATCCATTCACAGAGTGCTCCATCACCCTTAAGACAGGAAGCTCGTCCCCTAGGTATTTTATAGGAGAACATTTCTAAATGGTGACTTTTTTAAAAGTTACTTTTGATTTTTCACTACCCACCGGCCATTATATGGTATATTTCTAAAATATAAAGCCGGACTGGCAGACTCAAATCTCTGGCTTAAATCGTACGCATTAAAATGAGAGGTATATGTAAACATAATTAGGCTTTACTTCGTAAAAATTTACGACCAAGTGAGGTAGGTTTATCGCAGAAACATCTATGAACACCACAATATCAGAGTTGAACGCTTCTTTTATCTGCTGTATAGAATACAGATATTGTCATGAACTGATTAGCTCTTTTGTTCACTTTTGTTTTTGTATCATCTTCCAGATTTGCGTGCCGTCAGCAGAAATATGTTTCTTGCAGGAAACTGGTGTATCGTTCTTTTATATGCGGACTTCTGCTAAAACATATTGTCAAAGAAAGTAATAGTATAGAAGCAGCTGATATCCTATATTGATCAATGCTGTGATGACTGGTTTACGTTATTTGCCTTATTTATATTATTGCGACAAAAATAAACGAAGTATTTTTATCTCAGAGATATAATCTTTCAAATCTGAAACGTTTTGCAAAGATATCGCTCTTATCCTATTAAAAATCTAATAGAAGCACCGAGTTTCGCTCCTAAGGTATATAAAAAAATACCTTATTAAAAATTATATGACCCATAGGAATATTATTCCACAAGTCAACATCTAAAAACCATCCTGACATCATATATTCATTATTGCCAATGAAAGCGACACAGATCTGTATAATGTGTGGAGATATTTTTGTACATACATTGTATGACAGATTTCACATATTCAGCATTCTATGCTTGCGAAAGCATGCTGGGGCGGGTTGGTAAGCATGATTTGAAAAACACGAAGAAATAGAGCGACAGATATCGGTTTCTAGCTGCATTTAATGTACTGTCTGTCTTTGTCCCTACATGTTCTACTATTTTGCGTATTTAAAATCTGCTTTGCTTTCACTTGCTTATTTTTTTAATTTGTGAAAATGAATAAACTTATTTAGAAGGAGATGGCAAATTCAGGTGACAATAGTTGCCGTTTTGGTTGTTATATTAAGTGCATAAGATAAGGTTATTGTCTAGAAGCCCTAATAGAGACACTAATTACGTACCCCTCTCTGTAATAGTCTGCGGTTATAACTCACTCTATGGGTTTTGATGATCCTAACAAGCCAAACATTACATTATTGCGTGGCCGATCTTTCTACTAGAATTGGTATCAAAAGATCGATTACCTAGGATCTATCAATGACACCAGATGGCGCCGTTGCACGAGGAATGGCAGGGCTCTGCCCCTCTGGTCCGATGGTGCCATCTGGTGTCGATCTTTGTATGTCGTTTATAATAGAAAACTCGGTCGCGCATGAACGTCATGTTTGTTTTTAGGATGCTTAGGGCAGGTACACTGAGTTATGACCACAAATATGCTATCCCAGAGAGAGGTTCAGTTACTCTTTAAAATTGTAAATTTCAGAGGTGAAGTCAATACATTTTTAGTTTCTGTGTCTTATGGCACTTCACAGTGGTGTTTTGCAAAATGAGTCATATAAGGGCTTGCAAACATCTTTTCATCAACTAATTTGAAAAAAAGTCTAAATACTGCGAACGCTAGAATATACAGTTAGTTAGCTTTGTTTATTGAGTGAATGCCCAAAGTTCCCATTTCCTTTTATCGTTGGGGTCAGGAAACTCATAACGGATTTATTACTTGACATGGATTCATTAACCTCCTTTGATCTCGGGTGTGTTGAGATATAAGGGGAGACTATTATTGGAGTTGAATGAATCAGCCTCTCAGCTGGTTTCTTACCTTGTTGTTCTATATTAAAGAAGATGGTGCAGGTTTCAAAATTTGAGTACAAAATCACGGACTGTGATACCTTTTCTCCACCTGAGGTGATGTAAACGTTTTGTTAAAGCACCAAAAACCAGGCATGATTGCATTTAAGGTTATCGCGAGCATTATGTACAGGGAATTTGATTCTATTTCCGAAAATATTTATTTCAAAATATCTGTAAAAAATTCACTAGAGCGGTTTGTGGTGGTGAGTTATACGGCGAGGGGGACATTATGGAGGCTGCTAATTTTTGCCATGAGTCGTATAATTAACTGAAATGAATATTTCAGAATTTAATTAGTGAAAATAAGGATATGGTTTTGATCAGACAGGTGCTGAGCGAGTTTCCATACCACGAGCCACACCTTGTCAGCCGCAGTGCCGATATGAGATCATGACGATTTGTACGTCGCGAAACCCTACGTCGATTCAACAAGCCTCACGTCGTCATATCTTTCGGCGCACTCGGAAATTTCAGTTTCGGAATTGGAGGATGGACATGGGAGAAATTGACAGCACACATCACCAAGCCAGTTGCGTTATTTTTTATTTTTTTAATTGTGTAAGTTGGTTAAGCCTTTCAGGGCAGCTGTCTTCCAAATTACTCTTTCAACTTGACCGATAATACCAATTATTAAAACGTTTATTAACGAAATTTAGTTAATTATGTACCAGTCTGACGGTTGTTCGTCCCTCGAATGTCTGCCGAGCTGAACAAAATGGTGTCTACGTAATAGAAAGACGCTTTTTTTTAAAAATTAGTTTAGACTAAAAAGTCTGCCCTTGCAAAGGGTGCTAATTTTCGCGATAAGTTGCATAATTAAGCGAAATGTTTAATTAGAGTTTTAATTAATCAAAATACATATGAGATTTCAATGAGAACTGGCTGAGTATTATCGGAAACCACTAAATCCGTCTATATTCGAACAAATTAAAGCACATGAGAAACGCAGAGGTACCCCAAAATTCTCACTCTTGCAGCAGGCGCAAAGCTCGCAACTGGGGTGCAGGGTTGCTTGAATTACCATCCGCATTTCCCACCTGCTTGCTTTACGTCTGCTACGGAAATGGTAAAGTTGATGCTCCCCCCCCCCCCGCCCCCTGTTTCCCACGTGTTTTATAGTCGTACTCAAATTGACTGATTTAGTGGTTTTCAATGCTGTTCATCAAGTATTTAATTGAAAACATATATGTTACTTTTGATTAATTAAAAAGATAATTCGAAAATTTTAACTAATGATCGCACCTATTGCCAAGATTGTCGACCTATATAGTGTTCCTCTGACCGTATAACTCATTTGCATATATGATATTAGTGTATCTTAAAAAAAATTAATAAATATTCTTGAGCTAAATTCAAACAAAGCGTATAAGTGTGCCAAGTGTGAATTTTACAACTCATCGATTAGATTTTTTGACAGCGCATACGGCCAGCAATGCTAATTTTGTAATTGGGGATTCAAATCTCTAAGAACGATTTACCCTCACTATTTGCCAATATCATTGTGCTAACCTTCCGTTTCAGCGCTACAACTTTATAAAAATTAAACTGGCATCAACTTGCACATATAGAAGTAAACCGTTCGTTCTACTTTTAAGGATACACTTGATACTGAATTGTATTGACACGAAATCGAATTTATTAGCTTTTAATCTCTTACATTTTTCTTTCCAAAGTTCGCATACTGTTTTACTGATGATGCTATTCCGCGAAAAGAAACTTTCCGTTGAATTTTATCTTGCCTAATATTATCCGCGTGTTATTAGTTATGAATATCATCTAATTACCTTCGAATTTCCTGTCGATCAAAAGTCAAGAAGCATATTAAAATAGGTGTTTATGTAAAATGGGGAAGTTACGGCGCACTATCATTTCACTCACTTGTCTCGTTATATACCGCTATGAGGCCCTCGCAGTTTTCAACCTTCGTGGTAATAGGATCATTGTAGCTGAAATAAAAACAAATAAAAAATTATTTTTAAATTATATAAATCGAACTTACTCGTACATATTGAATTTATTTTATATAAATCAAATCAATATGATTTAAATAATTATAGCTAGAAAGTAGCTAAGCTTTATCAGTATAGATGTATTTTAAAAGAGCCAGCTTGAATCATCAATCTGTCCGATCGCAGCAAACAACGTGAAAGAACATTAATGGGTGATATATTTTCGAATCGTACAAGAAAAAAACTTTGAGTCTTCAAGAAATATATAAAAAAAATATTTGTTCATAAAGAAATTGGTGAGAAGAGCAAAACTAATTAGTGTATACATACCTGAAATGTGACCATTGTTACGATATTTGAGCTCAATCACCATTTAGTAAAAATGGGGCGTTACTTGGTATGCATTATGATTATGTAAAAAAAAATCAAGCACGTGTCCTGTTTATTTATAAAGTCTCAAGATTTACTACTTTTCTTTAAACAAACCCATTAAAGTGTATTTTTATTTAATAAGCATAAAAATGAAATCTCACAGACCTTTTTGTGAGACATTGAAGCGCATGAGGCGACATAAATTATTTAAAAAAAACAACGAGACGAGGGGGAAATTTTGCGGCTTTCTCTGCGACCGTATTTTCGAGTATACTATCAAGAAATCAATCAAACAATCAGTCTTTATTCAGCTTCACTAAAACATTGAAAATTTCGCAGTCACAACTGGACCCGTACCCTATTTCGCTTGCTATGAATCCGTACCTATATCCTCGCAGGCACCCTTGTGCGGCACAAATGAAATTCAAACGATTATATTCCCTTTTCTGAACATTTCTAAGCCTTGCTTTTTTAGCTTGAGTATAAATGGTCTCGTTTCATCAATGTTTGGGCTTAATGGGTTTCAAAGTTTTGTGCCCATATACAGCATTAACCGTTTTCCATATGCATTGCTATTGCGTGGAGTATTAAAAGTATTTACTCTAATGTTTCTCACGATTGAACTCGATTGTATAAATACAAATGATGGGAGTCATGTATTATTGAATAATGATTAAAATGAGAACACCGACTTCACATAACAAGAAAAACAAACTTCATTAAACGTTTCGCCTCCCATGCGGGAGGCATCATCAGTACATACACAGGAATGAGGGAGCTTCGGTCAACGCAGTCCTATTTATCGGGAACGTTCATATAAGCTTCCGGGAGGGGGCCACGGTTTTTGTTGCACGCCGTCTTATCTCCGCGGATGAACCATGACTCAAGTAGTTTGCGTGGGCCCCACCTATCCACCTTCGCCAAGGTGGTCGCGGCTGTGAAGTCAAAGGTGTGTCCCGTGGTCCACACGTGGTCGACCAGCTCCGTCTTGAGACGGGTGGCGTTCGTGGAATACTTGACGTCACGTTGGTGTTCTTTCATCCTGGTTATCTTCTCGCGTCCGGTCTCCCTAATGTACGAAGAGCCGCAGTTCTGGCAAGGGATCTTGTACACAATGCCTTTCTCCGTATCCGCAGGGGTGGGGTTCTTTGGCTTAGACACAATGCTTGGTATAGTTCGGTACGGTTTATACACAGTTCGAATACCTACAGGTTTTAGGGCGCGGCTTAGCGACTCAGACACTCCCTTAACGAATGGAATGCACAAGACATTACGTTCTTTGTCGGCTGGATTGGAGTGCGTTTTTCGTTTCGTCTGGTTGATTACCTCATCTACAAAGCGCCCGGGGTAGTTTCGCTTTTGGAGAGACTCTTGTACACGTGGGAACTCATTAGCGCAATAGGTCGCGTTAGAGGGCACAGTGTTTGACCTGTGAACAAAAGTTCGTACAACAGACTTCTTATGCTGTACAGGGTGGTGCGAAAGAAATCTAGAAAATTACCACTGTGGAGAGGTGAACCATCAAGTGAATGGCTGTCCAATGGGAAGCCCTGTCTCTGTCACTGCCGCTAACCTTGTAATGGAGTATATCGAAGAGAAAGTGTTCGGTGAGATTGTATTTCCTGTCAAGTTTTATCGTAGGTATGTTGATGACACTTTGGTTATCCTAGACAAAATTTTGTTGATGATTTTCACCAATGCTTAAACAGCGTCCACCCCGCGATTATGTTTACCTACGAGCCTGAACAAAATAACATGTTGTCCTTCTTAGATGTGTGTGTGATCAGAACTGACGAGCCGAACAACAGGATGGGAACCAAGGTGTATCGTAAACCATGTGACAGTGGTAATTTTCTAGATTTTCTTTCGCACCACCCTGTACAGCATAAGAAGTCTGTTGTACGAACTTTTGCTCACAGATCAAACACTGTGCCTTCTAACGTGACCTATTGCGCTAATGAGCTCGCACGTGTACAAGAGTTTCTGCAAAAGCGAATTTACCCCGGGCGCTTTGTAGATGAGGTAATCAACCAGACGTAACGAAAAACGCACTCCAATCTAGCCGACAAAGAACGTAATGTCTTGTGCATTCCGTACGTTAAGGGAGTGTCTGAGTCGCTAAGCCGCGCCCTAAAACCTGTAGGTATTCGAACTGTGTATAAACCCCACCGAACTATAGCAAGCATTGTGTCTAAGCCAACGGACCCCGCCCCTGCGGATACGGAGAAAGGCATTGTGTACAAGATCCCCTGCCAGGTCTGCGGCTCTTCGTACATTGGGGAGACCGGACGCAAGAAGATAATCAGGATGAAAGAACACCAACGTGACGTCAAGTATTCCACGAACGCCACCCGTCTCAAGACGGAGCTGGTCGACCACGCGCGGACCACAGGACACACCTTTGACTTCACAGCCGCGACGACCTTGGCGAAGGAGGATAGACGGGGCTCACGCAAACTACTCGAGTCATGGTTCATCCGCGGAGATAAGACGGCGTGCAACAAGAACCGTGGCCCCCTCCCGGAAGCTTATATGGACCTTCCCGATAAATAGGACTGCGTTGACCGAAGCTCTCTCATTCCTGTATATGTACTGATGATGCCTCCCGCATGGGAGGCGAAACGTTTAATGAGGTTTGTTTTTCTTGTTATGTGAAGTCGGTGTTCTCATTTTAATCACAACATCTCCCGGCTTTTGGACTATTTTTGCATTATTGAATAAATATCACGTACTTGAATTACAGTTTTGTTTGTCTGTACATATTAAGTGGCATTGTTCAGTGTGTTGTTTTTTAAATAAAGAGCTGAATTAGCGTTAAAACAAGTATTATGATATTCGCAATGCTCGTTTCTGAAGCTTGATTCTTGGTTGTAAATAAGTTTGATACATAAATGTCTAAAATTCTAAACAATATCATCGACGACTATTAAAAATACTGTAGTATACTAACCTTAGTGTTTTCAAATCAAAATACTGCCTTGTGATAACTAAGGTGTAAATGTAATATCCCATTTTTACATATTGTTTGAATGTGTGGTTTTCAGTTGAAAAAAAAATCAGTGTCCCCTAAATATTTAATATTTTCTACTTCTTGAATAAACTTATGTTTCAAATGCATTTGTTTTGTGCATCTTTTGGCATGATTTTGCATGGAGAATTGAACACCACATTGTTTTTTTTTTGGCTTAATGATGACTTATTTTGTATGAACCTGTTATCAATCTAAGTTCCTGATTAATTTCTACTTCCAATACATGCCAAGAGTTTCCGTATACAAATAATATTGTATCATTTGGGTACATTACTGCATGTAATCTGCTCATAGCTTTAGGCGAATAGTTTGTATAGAAGGCAAAAATGATCGGTCCCAGCACGGATCCCCGACGCACTCCTGTTAACACCCTCTCACTGGTAGAGTACTGATCCCCGATATGGACTAGCTGAAATCGGGATGATAAAAAGCTCCTAAAAAATCCAAAGTGAAGCCACAGAACGCGCACTGTTTTTTTTTTTCAAATTTTCCGATTAATATTTTTTTATTAGTGGAATCAGAAGTCTTTTTATATAAAAAGATACCAACTGCTATTTGATTGTTGTATACGGGCGAGTTGACGAATCGGCTTACAACTGAGACTGCTGTACCAGTTGATTTGTATGTTTAAAAGCTGCGCTTCTCTCCTGCTATAATGCTATTTCGTGTTAAATGGTATTATCTTTTCAAATATAGTGTTGGTACTGCTTAATACCGAAATTAGTCGGAAGTTGGACAGTTGATTTTGTCTACATTTTTGTAATTTGGTAACACTCTTGCTACATTTAGCATGGGGGGAAAGTACCACTATAAACTGCATGGTTAAATATTTTTCTAGAGGTTTACTACGAGTATAGATATCGTGCTTCATCATTTTGACTGATGCACCATACGTTCAAGAGCGCCGCATCCCTTGTCATTGTTTCAACCATTGTTATTATCTCATAACTAGCTATATCATACAAACCAGAATAATATGGAACTTGGCTTGTAGTGCGGTTTATTGTTGGTTCTTCGAGAGTACTTGTCTACAGTACCTATAGTGCAGAGATATTGAATAAATTTTCTTGAAACCGTCATCTTTATTTTCACAACCAGTATCCCGAAGTTTCGGCAGAATTGGACTTCGTACAGATAGTTTAATGATAGAGTTTAAAACATACCACACTTGTTTTGTATTCCTCGACAAAACCTGAAGATGTATTCATCGGGTTGGCTAATAGTCGTGAGCGACTAGATCTGGGGACGATATTCAAATGCGGCGCATAGATTCAACACCAGCTTTGCGTGTCCAATCCCTGGGATTAAACACAAACTCCGACTTGCTCGGGACGCCTATCGCCCGAAAAGCGCAATAGGCGCCGAGATGAGCTCCGCGATGGGCGCCGCGATAAACGCCAACTTGTTGAGGCAGTGCGATCCCGTCCACTCATTTGCCTAGCTTTTTTTGTTTGAGAAAGCATAATTAAATATATTTTGTTTTCATGTCGTATTTTTATATATTTTTAATAATGATCGCTCCATAAAAAGAAACTGGAACGTTTTTTTTTGTTTTGTTTTTAACGAGATAGAGGAAATTATATCTTATGTTTTTCCTGTGAATTCGTATATCACGAATATTCGACCGCACGTAGCTATAGACGCGATCAAAATGGAAAAAAACCTGCCACTGGGTGTGACGTCATACCCAGAAGTTTCAGCGGCCTTGCGCCTGCCGCTTGTGAGGGAACGCTTGGAGCACTTTTGGCTGCTCGGGTAAGGCTTCCGGAAAGCACGGAAATGTTGAGATCTCTGCATAATTCGTTATTATTCCCTAGTCGTAACGAACGCGACAGAGAGGAGGGTCTTCAACGCTATTTTCAAAGTGCTGTTGGGGCTATTTTGCGCGTCAGTCTGAAATATTATTTTGATATTCATAACCCCGAAGGCGAAATACAGTCGATTTAAGAGTGTTTCTCTTAAAAAAAAAACACACACACAACCGCTTCACTTTCCATTTAAATAGAGTTGGCGATTCAAGGCCGAAGCAAATGTTAATGTACGAAGTATTGTTTTTACAACAACAACAACAAAAGACCTCGTCATAAATTCGGGTTGTCTGGCTGAGACATGAACGGACAAATACAAGACTACACCGGAAAATAGATATCACCAAGCAATGCGGTGTCAAATAAATTTATTTTCCAAGCTCGGGACACCTATCTATTGAATCTGGGTGTACTATCATGAACCATCTCTCCGTGGTAAATATCATGAATACTCGATATTTTCTCTATAAGGTCCGAGTTTCTACTTCGGGAACAAAAAGTCTCGCAAAAAGACTAAAAAATACGGAAAAAATGTTTTCTTGAAGTTATTCTTACATTTTACTCTATCCCTTAAAAGTCCTTCTATGTTTTCTTTATTTTTCAAGATGTTCTATAACCGATTTCGTCTAACTAAAACCCCAATAAAGTGATCTCATAAATATTCAATCACATTAATTAGGAACTATATCTAAGTGATAACATAAAATATGTGAGGTACTTACACGACAGGAAGGTCGTTGATTTGGTATATGAATTTCCCACGTACGGACATCGTACTGCTGTCTTCACTGTTCTGCGTTACGTAAGTGCACACAATGACAGACGCATCAAAGCTGGTGTACAGCATGTGCCCTTTATCGGAGGACTGCAATGCCTGTAGAAATAAAGCAGCAATAGTTAGGCCACAGATACTGGTCAAATCTGCTGGCTACTTTCCCAGGCAAAGGAAATACGTACATCAGTTCGCAGAGAAAGAAGGAAGCATATTCTTACCTTCCATGCTAACCGGCCTCTCGGGTCAGTGCAGTCATTCGTTTCTTGAGCCCCGATAAAAAGAAAGGAAGAGATAACGACTGTTGCGACGAACGGTATTAAGGCCATGTTTTATGAATTTTAGCTCAACGAGACCAAGAACAAATGGCACTTCGATCAGCGGTCTTTTTCACGCTGCAACGGTTCAAGCGTGCAGCTGTCTGGAGTCCAAACGGTCACCGCAGAGCATATATAGGCTCTTCATGGCAAAAATATAGCTCTGCTCAGTATCAGTCAATGAACTTCGTATGTTTTGCGCGCATGCTTATTTTTTTCTTCCGCCCAGTTTCCATGAAGTTAATTGCGAAAAACTTATTTTTTTGTTTATGGGATAAGTTAATGAAAAGTGCTAGATTGGATGTGTTTCGCCTGCAGTGGAGGATATCCGCTGCAACAGCGGGAGCGCATGTCCTTCGCAGAACTGATAAAACGATATTTTTCTAAGTTCGCAAAAAGATAAATTTTAGGCGGAATGGAGGCCGTCGTTTCCACATATTTTTCGCCCTTCAGGTCGTAAATCAAGCTTACCTGTGTACTACTCAATGAAAATATCTAGATAATATTTGACAATATATTTTAATAAGCTTTGAAAGAATCGCTGCTAGAAAATAATATACTTAACGCAACTAAAAGAGAGCGCACCCAATATTGAACTTTCTATTCTCGCAAATGTTTACCGTCACCTTTGTTCTTTCAGGTGTCACTTCAATATTCTGAGAGTATCCTAATTATGAACTACGATTTTACTCATTTGCAACTTCACTAGGCGAAAGAGCCTTAAAAAATTTACGGTAAAAATAGGCGAGTGGATTTTTCAAAACAAAAATGACAGAGAAGTACGAATATTAACGGTGTCTCACACCAAAGTTGCTGAATTTGAACGTTGTAGAAATGTACCTAAATAACGGCTATGCTTCAAATATTAAAGTGCACTTAGTGATTCAAATAAAAACGCTAGAAAATTATAGGCATTACTTTGTGTGATGCCATTAAAATATTAAGCCTCTCTTTTATGGTGTAAATTTCAGCAGTGATTTCTAAAGGACTAAAATTGCGTTTCGAAAATACGCATCCGCGCATTCACTGGAACTTGTGATTTACATGAATGCTAACGTACAAAATACACCTAAAATGATGATTTCATCTCAAATAGGGCAGGCTAAAAAGTCCTAACTTTTAATTTTGACGTGAAATATATGTTTTGGGAGCATTTCCCAAATAAAGAAGGGTGAAAACTGCATGTCCCCCAGATTTTTCGTTTTCGAGTTACGAAGCCTCGAAGCCGCAAAGGCAGGAACTAGTATTTTTACCTGCCGTCGCAGGTCGCGTATTTGGCACCCTCTGCTGACGCTAGTTGTGTCCCTCCACTTTTTTAACTTCTTTCTCTCACCTAATAGGTACTACAAAGATATCTTGATGTATTCAAATATTTTTAGGAATTTTATTGTTTTCTAAAACGAATGTCAAACGCGTCACTCAGGTCGATTTTTGGTCAACACTTGACAGTTCCTTACTTTGTCTGTACTTAAAGTAAATTTTGTTTAGTTAGCTCTATAGAAAGCTCAAAGTAAGGCCATTATGGATATATTAATAATGTCATTATGATATGTTTGCTAGTTGCTCCGCTACCTTCTCGTAAACTTTGTGAAAAATAACAAATGAAAGTTTGAAATCGATTTTCTCAAAAACCCCATTTTTCTAAATTTTTATTATTTTAATCTTTTACATATAATAGTCAAATACAAAAAAGTCTAGAAATGTAATAATTTGGTTGTATGTCTCTTATGGAAGCCTCAATTGCATGATATTTGTGCTCATTTGACTACAATACATCAACCTTACCGGAATTATGAGGATCTACGCTTTGGAAAATGTGTTTTTATTTTTGTTTACTTTTTCAAAAAGAAACGTAAAGTAGGTGAACTTGTGAAATTCATTGTAATTTAAATCTTGAAATAAGAGAGAAGCCACATAAGCACACTGCAAAACAATGAGTAACAGGAATATACAAATCAATAGGCCTCGCAACATGACAAAAGTTGTTTCTATATAGCAGTGGTTCTCAACCATCGATGTTTCGCGGACCCCTTATGAATCGGCGGAGATGATGGACTGCCCCCTTCGTGGTGATGGGAGGGGAAAGGTATAGGTTAAATATAATGAGAATATAATAAATGGATTCAACTAAGGGCTAATGTGAAGTAGACTTCTCTTATTGACATACACACGAAAATACTCGCCCGTAAATAGAAAAATTCCTTCTCGATCTGAAAAAAAAGACAACTTTTATTGCCGGACTTGACTGATGTGGCAGGACTTCGCGGACCCCTAAATGCCCTCGCGGACCCCCATTTGGGAACCACTGTTATATAGAACGGTTCTAAGTGAACGATGGTGACTACTCATTTTACGGTCTTTGACGACTTGAGTGATAAATTCTCTCACCATTCAAATCTTGTACACAGATCTTCCGGAATTCTTTTAACGAGTTTCAAAAGTGGACAAAAAAATGCATTCTCCATTTCTTCATGAGACGCGCCTAGCGAAGAGCAATATGACTCGAGAAAGCGCGTGTGAAGTCAAAGTGCCGTCATCTCGCACTTTGATCTTGCTGAAAACTGGAGTGTCGTGATTCAGCGCGTGGTGCAAGGACATCACTGAAAGAGCGAGATGGTTTCCATTTTTACCTGCGTGGCTACGACCAAACAGGGAACTTTAAGCTTCGGCGGAGTGAGCGACGACATCGTCCATGACTCGTCCCACGCTCTGTTTGCGCTCAATGTCGTCGAAGGGCGGATGGAGGAAGTATTGCCTATTTCCACGCAACATATTCATCTTTCAAACCGTGTACCAAGCCACTTCAAACCAGGCACCAGGTGTACGAATTCAAGAAAAAGAATGTTGTCACCAAGTGGATATTCTCCGCATCAGGGCACGGGAAACGCTCTTGTGATGGAGTGGGCGGCGTCCTCAAGCACCAGGCATCCATGTATAACTTGTCAACCACAAAATTGTACTCTATAATAAACACGCAAAGCTTCGTTGAGGCTCTCAGACCGAAAGCCAAAGGGATCCTGTACCCTCAACTGCCAAAGAGAAGCTCACGCATTTCCGGAAGCTCAAGAAAAAAGAGCTGGACAAGGTAAACCCACCAAGGGGCATCCGATCCTCACACGTGTGCAGGAGGACACTGGAGCAAGGCGCCTTGAACGTTACCTTAGAGAAGATTTGCGAATACACAGAGTAACTGCATACACGTGGTCAAGGCATGGGCGTACCGTACCGCATTGCGTCCCGAAATTTAGAAGATCATCAATGAGTGCGTGCCACCATGTTCAAACCGGCAACAGTGGACTGCGTGGCTCCTACACAGTACAAAAACTTATTCACAGTTACCTCGAACTCGTAAACAAATTTATATACTTCGGAAAAGGCGCCATTAATGTTTTTTGTGCTTTTTGCTGGTTCGGCGCGCGCGTTTCTACACTACTGAGGTGCACGAACTGAGCAGTCAACCGTCCACGATCAGCACGATGTGAGGATACAAAAAAACGCCGAAGACTGGCGTTCATTCGTGTCCCGAAGCTCAAGGACACTTGGCCCATTTGAAGAAGGGACTAGTGCCCACTTCTCCCCAACGGAGAAACTTCGCCCACTGTAGGATGTGTACACGCTGGATCCTCACTCAAAGGAGGCAACAAAATGCAGTACCCGCACTGAAGCTCATATGGTGCTCCTGTAGTTTGGTCTTTACCCGAAGAACCACCTGCTAAAGGGCAACGCAAAGGTGACGTTTTTGCGTTGCCTTTCGTCATAAAACTCAGAATATGCAGATCTTCAAAGACTCGAAGATAGTTGGAGAAACCTTAGTAATTCCCCCAACGTATTATATAAAATATAAAAAAAACAAGAAGTGTTGGGAATTAATCTAAGAACATGGTACTTGAAGTATTACTGGTTAGAAAAAATTGTAGTTTACTTGAACTACATTCTCTGAGCACGTGCTTGTACTGTATTGAAGTATTTTTTTCTGGTACTTTCCGAAGAAATGAAAACTCCCGACTTCAATTAACATTGCCAGAATTCGAAAAAAAAACAAGCAAAAATGGCGTATCGTCGTGGGAAAACGCGCTCTTTCGAGACGTCATCTGGTCATTTCTCTGAGTGAAGTAATGGCAGCTATAAGACCGACACAAATAGTGCTTAAGTTGATTGTGTCAAATAGCTCGTCAGCGAGATTAACTACTCTGTGGCAATGTGACTTTATACAATATTTGCTGCCATTTCCGTAAAAGACTGATGCACCTCCGATTACCCCATGAGCAATGCATACCAGTTAAAAAAACACTTTATAGTGAATGAAAAGGCACCATGAAAGATTGTGTTGAAAGTAGTTGCACTTTACCTTGAAATATATTGTATTCAGTGTACGTTACCTCAAGGGCATTCCGAGTGGTGTACTTACTACTTTACTGGAAGCACATAAACTCTCATTAATTTGTACTTCACGTACTTTTTAGATGTAATTAACGCAACACTGTAAAAAAGCGAACGCTGTCTAAATTATCAAGCTCAGGCACTGATAAACCTCAAATTTACCGAAAAAACAAACAAAAAATACAAAAAAATTAGACAAGCAGAAGTAGTGCCAGCTATTAAACCATATCTGCTAAGAAACAAGGCAATTCATATTTCGCTAGCAAAATTTTGCTAACGAATCAAAACCTATGTACTTTGTTGTTACCATGAAAAAACACATAAAAGTAACTTCAAATGTAATTCGCTACTTTTGTACAGTAATTAGAAATATTCTAAATTAATTTCCATTTGAGTGACTTCTACTTCACTCAAATTACTTTCGAGGTCAATACTCGGTATCTTAACTCAATTTTAAACGAGTAGATGCAGATCCTGTGTGCAGTCCTTGAGTTATTTGAATAATTCAGACAATCGCGTTTTCAAAAAACAAATTGAGTATTTATATTAGTCAGACCGCCTTTCAGTCCTGCCACTATTCTTGACATAAAATTCATCGTAGCCTCTTAGTTTTCTAGATTTCGAAAATCAATGTGTATAAGATGAACCTTGTAGCCCACAGAATGTGCGTAGAGGCATCATAACTAATTGTGAAAGAATCAAAATATCGCTAGCACATTTGCTTTCTTTA